TTTTTTTTCAAAATATGTACTGAAATTTGAAATTTTTTCAACAAACATTTTAAAAAGTTACAGTATCAAAATTATTTCTTATTTTAAGTAGGAAGACTATTAGAGCATTTAAAAGTGTCTTTAATGCTTGAGTGATTTTAATGCTTTTTATCAAATGTACTTATTTTCTCATGGTGACAAAAAAAATTATCTACGTGAAAATTATTTTACAAAATCAATTTCTGAGTGATCTGTGTAGGGTGAGATTTGTTATGTAATTTTAAATTTAGCGGCGGCAGAATACCTAAAACAAATATTGAGTAGGTAGGTATATAGTTGTAGAGCGTACAACTAGATGGCGCTTGCATCTTTTACTGGCTACAGGTAATTTAACTCACTGTATTACCGATAATTCCTAGAAAAGGAAAGCAATAGAAGTTGGAGAAAGTGTCAACAGTTAGCGCTGTTAATGACCACGAAATCTGTTCAAGTTTCCTATCTATAGTATCATTTATCTAGGCTAAACTCAGTATAAATAAAATAAAATTAGTTTGCTTACTTCACTCGTATTTATGAAGCTACATTCATTTGGGTCATATGAAACACTAGCGCCACCCCAACTTCTGCCATTTCTTGGACAAATTTTGTCAATTTTTCCGTATGAGTTCGTGCTCCTTATCTAGTATCCATGACAGTAAACTTACAGTCTTGCACAGAACACCCTCTAGAATAGAAACTGATTACTCAGCATTTTTACACACAGTTGATAGCAGCGCCTTAGGTGAATGTGATCCAAAGTTTCGCATTTAGCGTAGACAATTACTCCTGATCTGTTACTGAAGCTATTCAATAAAAGATGACGCTACTTTGAGCGGTAAATTCGATTTTGACAATTTTGATTAATCTAGGACGAAAAGTGAAGCTTTAAGGTACAAGTAAATTTTTACGGCAGAAGCGTAGTCAAGGCCGTAAAAATATACGAGTACTCTAAAGCTTCTTTTCGTCCATGGTACATACAATTTTTAAGACTATTTTAAAAATCAAATAGTATTTATTTATACTATGGTAATACGTGGGTTACCATAGAAATTTCTTTGAAGTACTAGAACTTTTACTTTATCGTCCTAGAACATTAAAGTTCCATTTTTTGTCCAAAAATTATTCAAAAAATGGTTCACTATTGAACAGTATGAAAGAAAATCTATTTATAAATTTAACTATTAAAAAAATAACTTAAATTTTGCATAAAAACAAACTAACCCATCATACTTATTAACAAATCATTTCAGGTAAAAAAAAGAGTAGTTTAAAATAACCAGTATACTTTATTATAAGAAAACATATTCATTTTCTAATTTCCTTAATAGAAATGGGTTTTAACATAATTATAACAAAATTTTTCATTTATGTTCTAAAATGATGGATGAATTGGCATATACCAGTGTGGACTTTTATTATTACATATATGAATTATTTGAATAGTACTATTCGCAGTTGCTAGAGCGCATCAAAATGAATAAAATGATGAAATAAAAGTACATGACTTAATCGATTCTGTGTGAAGTTGTCATGAACTCAGCTAGTTTTTCATATAGAGTAGACAAAAACTCAGCCCCTAAGGCGCGTATAATATTTATTTATCACGAGTTGACGGTTTACAGTCCAATTTAAAGAAACGAGTTTTTTGACAGTATGATTATTTAGGTATTATACATCATACCTAACCTAACCTGATTTATATTAATAGTTTTTCCAAATATTTGTGCACATACTTAGTTTTCAAACTACCCCGAGTAAAGACAAAAGATTAGATTGATTCTATTTGGGAATAAAAAACGTGCACGAACTAGTGTCCGAAGAGTTCATTGACTGGTTTGATGTCGAATATGCGTTTTATGTTTTATGATGTTTGGATCATAATCTATTATTTTGGATTAATTTGAAGTGATTTGTGTGCTGGTTGCATTTTGTGTCAATTAGAGTAAATTATCAACAGAGAAGCAGTAAAAAAATGGAAAAATAAAGTTAATTTATAGGTTAATAAATTAGTGCCATTATTATTTTTTACACATTAACCTATTTTAGAAATAATTAAATAATGGATTACTTGAAAGAACCACAATTAGTAGCTAAAATTCAAAATTTCTTTGGTGTTAAAACAAATTTCATTGACACAAATGTTAATAGTGATTTACATAAAATGTCTAGCGGTCACAGTAAGGAGTACATTTTAACAAATAAATATTGGTATTATTTATTTATATTTGGAACAGCACTAGGAGACGAGACTTTTTACTCAGCATTTATACCTTTCTGGTTCTGGAACATCGATGGGGCTGTAGGAAGAAGAGTGGTGCTAGTTTGGGCTATTGTTATGTACGTAGGTAAGTTGCTCATTTATTTAATTTTCTAGTTTTTTGTATTTGCTGTAATTTCACCTCGGAACTCTTAGTTTTTGTTTAGATACAACTGGATGAGTAACAGACATGCGACAATTCTGGATCCGAAATACGTTACCTATAACTGAATCTCCTCATATTTTAGGACAGGGAATTAAAGACATAATCCGATGGCCTCGACCAGGACCACCGGTAGTTCGTTTACAAAATAAATGGGCTCTAGAATACGGCATGCCTTCTACACATGCCATGGTGGGCGTTTCCATTCCATTTTCCGTTCTCTTATATACAATGAATAGATACCAGTATAACGTACCGCTAGGACTGTGCATTGCGATCTTGTGGTGTACAGTAATATGTATTAGTCGATTATATCTTGGAATGCATACCGTTTTGGTGAGCTGGATATTTTTATATTTGAATCATATATGTAGATAACTGGGAGCAATTAGGCTTGCTTTTGATACTTTATCAAATAGATAAGGATTGCATGTACATGGAAAACGATTTAAGTATCACGTTTCTTGCCTCTGTGCTGATTAGCTTATATTTAATTTCTTTTAAATACTGATTAAACAAATTTGTGTATAATAAAATTTAAAATAAAAATTCCATTTCAATACATCTATAGCTGATATTTGTCAAAAGAACTTAAAATTTGTTGATTTACGATCCAAAATATCATTTTTCGTGAAAAACGATACAAGTAAAAATATTTTTAGGACATTATCGCAGGATTAGCATTGGCTGTGGTCATCATGTTTCCATTAGTGCCCTTGGTTGATCAGTTAGACGATTATTTTCTTACAATCCCAACGGCTCCGTTTTTACTACTCGTTTCATCTATACTTATGATCGTTTATTATCCAAATAGTGGCAAATGGACCCCAACGAGGTAAGAAATTTTTTACAATGATTGCGAAAGGAGTTGGTAGTATGCCAAAGAAAGTTAGCAGTAGTGTACAACATATTAACTAGTTCCCATTTAAAACTATCAAGATCAGTGTTGTAAAGGCGAAAACATTGGTTATAGTCTAAGTATCCTGTCAAGGATCAACGTTAAATTTGCGGAAATTATTACCTGGACAAAAAAAATATGACCGTATAGAAAATTAAATTTTAAATTGAGTTTCCTGTTCTTTAAACTCGATACAAAATGGCGAACATGGTTAAAAAAAATCGCAAAGTTGCAAAGAACGGTTTTTCTAAAATAACTAAAAAAATATAGCACCGATCGAAAAATTTTAAATGAGAAAGTTGTAGGTTTTAAAAAGATCTATCGACTGATTTTTTGTAAGTATTGATTGCTTTGTTACTTTTCGAGATATATCGAAAAAAACGTTAAAAATAGCCAATTTTTGATCCTTAAAATTAATAAAATCGTCAACTTTTTTAACAGCTTGATAATATAACTCTTTACGAAGAAAAAAAACTGAAAAACGTCACTGCAGGGTTATCCGCTGAGAAGATGTAGCCAATTTTCGAGAGCGCCTTTTTTTTCAAAAAATCGATATATCGAAAAATAATTAATATTTTTAAATTTTTCAAAAACGTACTTTTTTGGCTTGCCGCGGGCTATGCTTACAGTAAATAGCAAGTTTATTTTTAACGTTTTTTTTTGGTACATCTCGAAAAGTAACAAAGCAATCGATACTTACAAATAATCAGAAGATAGATCTTTTTAAAACCTACAACTTTCTCATTTAAAATTTTTCAATCGGTGCTATATTTTTCTAGTTATTTTAGAAAAAACGTTTTTTGCAACTTTGCGAATTTTTTTAACCATGGTCGCCATTTTGGATGGAGTTTAAAGAACAAGAAACTCAATTTAAAATTTAATTTTCTATACGGTCATATTTTTTTTGTCCAGGTAATAATTTCTGTAAGCATTTCTCTATAATGCTTGAACTATTATGGGCAAATACTCATGCACGAAAAAGACCATTGTGCAAACGTTCTCTTTAGAAATTGTAGTATTCCGAATTTTTTCGAATTTCATCCACAACAAAGCATTAAATGTCTACGTTTATGGTCCATCGCTCCAATCACGTTTGTTTTTGCACATCCGGCTTGAAGGACCAAAATATGGTGAGGTATTCTAGTAATAACACTATTACGTGTTTAATGCTTTGTTGTCGCACGTTTTTTAATTTCAGGTTCAGGTCCTTGTTTATATATATTTATTTATTTAATCTCGTTTGTGCTTCATGGAAATTTTTTCGAGCATATTACAACACTGTTCAACATAATTGCATAAAAATTGTCCCCCTCAAAGCAAGTTTTTTTATGGTTTTGGATTTTTGAGTTTCAAAAAATATTATTTTTATATGTACTATCCGCACTTCAATTTTTAGGGGAGATACGACCATGATCCTATCTGTCTGCGTCGGCATTCATATAGGGGCTTGGCTGAATTACCAAACCGGTCTGATGACACCCTCCGAGCTGACAGCGCCTTACGTGATAATGTGGCCCTCGTACACGATGCTAGGTTGCATGGTTCTGCGTACGATACTCGGTTTCGCCTGTGTTATATTAACGAGGATCGTGTGCAAAAGCGCCACGTATCATTTCCTCTGCGCTCTTTTGAAAGAAGATGTGGACGTGCTGAAAAAATCCGAAAACACCCTGCAGAACAAGCACAAGACTATCGTCGAGTTAGGTTGCAAGTACGTGTATTGCGCGATGATCGGGTTTAATACGCTTTATCTGCTACCTCAGCTGTTTAGGTATTTGAGAATCGAGAGGCCAACTTTTTTCACGGAAATCTGATAATGTTGTTTCCTTTTAGTATTTGCTATTATTTATGAGTAAGAAATATAATTCTTTTATTTATTTTTTATTTTTTTTTTTGAGTTTTTGATGAAAGGTAAATACCATTATAGAAAAAACAATGTGATGAAATTTACTAAAATTTTGCATTAAATAAAAAATAGGAATATTTTTTTAATTTTTTTTGTAAATGGAGAACTTTTTGTTTATTTCTACCAGTTTAATCATTCTTTTAATGTGTTTTATTTAAAGAAAACGTAGCTTCCAGTTCCATTATGTTGTGACAAATGAAACAATTATAATCAAATTTGTAATGCATATCAAGTAGAACTTTTTCAACTAGTTGCCTTTGAAGCGTTTTAATACGTCAATTTTCCGAGACTACTTTTAAAACATGCTTTTGATAGTTTCTGTCAAAATTACACCCTGCTGTCTTTTAAAATATCTCTCTTTCAAATCTATCGAGTAGAACTAGACAACAAAAATGATCCATCTGTGTCTCAAAATAATAGTCATTAGTTTTTTATGTAGGGAGTAACTAAAATGTTTGAACGAACTTAAGTGGCACAATTATCAAAACAAAGTTACCAGAAATGCTTTATTTTTTGATTTAAAAAAATTAAAGATGCACGCCAAATTTAAACGAAATCGCTTCATCTGTTGATTTAAAAAAATTGAATTTCCCTCAAACCCTGTCTCGAAAAACAGCATTTTTGACCCAATGGAATGTAGAATTTGTTTACTAAAATTTGGCTAAGCATTTTGATTACCCCTGTAGAGCCAAAGTTTGAATCACATCATTATTTAATATACGACGTGTCTGGCTTGTGGAATCATTTTTTTTACGGTTGGGCTATGATTTTTTGTGGGTGCGTTTTTCAGAGGAACATGTTAGGGATATTTTTTATTAAAAAAAATAACACCAAGAATTTTCTACATCTCCTAAAATAGTTGCAAAATAAAACTCTGGTACACATCTAGGATGCCATGAAAATAAGAAACAAAACACTATAGGACTAGACTAACAAACGCTGTGTGCCAAATTTCAAAATTATTAAACACGAAAGTTGTCATTAACATAAAAATTATCATGACTGTTATTAATCACTGTTTGCAGTTCATATATTTAACTTTTTTTACTGTAAATATGTCGATCGTCTAATTTAATACGTTTGTTTGTTACTCCATCCAACTGTTTCTGTTTTCATGGCATCCTAGATGTATACCACAAACTTTCATTTATTTATGTATGGAAAAATAACCAGCAGATATTTTTCTTTGAATTTGGTAGACAACTATTTTGGGGGACGTCAAACAATGTTAATTTTTTTTAAATAAAAATATCCCGAACACGTTTTTCTGAAAAGTCTTAGCAGGCAATGGGAAATCGATAGTTGCCAATTAATGAGCTTTCAGGGCTCTAAATACCAGGTGTTTCAGAGTTGAAATGACAAAAGTGCAGGGGAGATTTTTCTTAGCAAAATATGTAGAAAAGTTCATATGAGCATGGGTCCGCAAGTGCTTCGGTTCCAAGATACAGGGTGTTGATTTTTTTTTTACAATTGAGTTTTTGAAAAAACGCCTTAGCCGATTTCAATGAATTTTTTAGGGTTTATTGAAACAATTATTGTACCGCAACTGGACCAATTTAGGTTTGATCCAGAATTTTCAGGAGCGTACCCAGCGAGCAAGTCGTTTTTTTCGTAGAAAATTCTCGAAAATGAAGTCGAAAGACACAAATGTACTATTTTTAATGGGTTTAGCTGAATATTAAATAAAAACCGCAAAAAACTACAGCCTATGAAAAAACTCAGCGTACCTAGCGACTTGCTCGCTGGGTATGCTCCTCAAAATTCTGGATCAAATCTAATTGGTTCAGTTGATGTATGACAATTGTTTCAATAAACCGTAAAAATTTCATTCAAATCGGCTAAAGCGTTTTTTTTTCAAAAACTAAATTTGAAAAAAAATTAATACCCTGTATCTTGGAAACGAAGCACTTGTGGACACTTTTTTACCATATTTTACTGAGGGGAATCTCAGGCTCCTCCTCCCCTAGGCTTTTGTCACTTCAACTCTGAAACACCCGGTATAAGAAATAAAGTAGTCCTACTGGATTTCCACAAGTATTTGTGAATTTTATTTTTTTAACATGAAAAAGCAGACACACTTACTTTTTTAAATAAAAACTGCCGATGCATCACATTAGTGATAACTTACAATTCTGTAAAAAAAAAACAATTTAAAAAAACGATTGCGATAAATTTTTTACACTGAAAATAAGTTGCAAATTCGAATAGTAAGCAAAAAGGTGGACATAAATAAATTTAGATTTATAGAAGGGCATTTGCACGTATCACCAAATATTTTGTTAAAAAAATATTTTTTTAGTTTTATAAAATATTTTTTTAAATTTTCAATTTTTATATCGCCAATATCAAAAATCAAATTGCATTCACATTTTCCTTTTTGGACGATATTCCATTCTGTCGAGGTTCTTCACATTTAGAAAGTCGGTAATAAAAAGTTTGTGATATTTTAATTTAGGTGTACAGTTTAGTATTAAACAAACTATACCATAACTTCTAACATTTATTATCTATAACGTTTAGTACAAATATATTTAATGTAACTATTACATCTTTCCACTCTTATTAAAACATCCCACATACGGCTTCGCACACAAATCAACCTCCCACAAGGGGCATTGTTACTGTTAATATCTAAAAAAAATATACATAATATAAAGACGTTTTAATTGTTTCGATTTTCATTTTGTATACCCTCCACGCTTACCTTTGCGGTCCTGTCGAAAGTGGATGTACAGTTCTTTTGTTTCACGATGTAAGGAATGAAGATGTCCAAGAGGTATCCCTTAGCGCTTGATTCCAATAGTATCCTATCCTCTCCCAGGTCTAAGGTCAGCTCTCTAGCAGAAATCTGCCGGAACAAAAATATTTGACGCCTACAGTCCATAATAAATTTAGGTAATTCTACCGAAAAACTACCGTTGCGTTAAGATTGTATGACCCACGTATATGGCTTAAAAAGAAACATCTGTAATGTTTTTAATAGGCAATCCACAAATTATAATCTGCAAAATTATGTCAAAATCTAAATTTCGTCATGTGATCAAGACGCACTGTGATGTCATTTAGTGCTACAGATTTAATTTTCGATTGTACACAGTTATTTTGAATGCCAAATTATTAAAGTGATTACAAATATTTTCACTACAGGATCCTATAAGTTCATAGATTATTTCTAGGCGTTTAAAAAATATATACAAGTTGTACATTATGTGTAACTCGAGTCTCGATCTGGCAACATTCTGCAAATTGTCGACTGGTAGCAGTTGAGGCGTTAAAATGTCATCAGTTCCTAGTTGTCGCTTGATTAGAGAGTGATCTAGTTATCGTCTTTTGGTTGCTTATATAGAGCCTTCATAAATGCTTACAAGCCACGTTACCGATGAGCTTGGACAATCAACGCTGAAGAGGCCACATGGGCTCAGCGATTCCGAATACTGAAATCCGATTTTATAATCGTTGTTGCGATAGTGTTTACCTGTTACTTGTGATGTTTACAATAGTTTTTTAGTAGTTAGTGAAAAAAATGGCTTGCGTATATAGCAATTCGGAGTTGATGGATATCGTTTAAATTTATGGTGAAGCCAGACATTTGTGTTAATTCGTAGAACTCATATTTTATTATTTAAAAACACAAATTAATTTTATTAATTAATAATAACAATAACGGCAAGAGCAGTTGAATTTACTGATATAAAATAGGTGTTATAAAATTCTATTTATTTCTTTCCCTGCAAAAGTTTTTGTCCGTTTTTATCACACTTTGCCGCCATATCGGTCGCATTGGGCAAGGTCAGGTTTTACAGTGGACCAGTTTACAGTGCCGTGCAAAAATGTATTTTTAAATCATTTTCGAACTGCCGTTTTTGATTTTTTCTTTACAAAATTGTATTTGTAAGAGTCCTCTGTACATCCAAATTTTTTTTTGGATAAATTCTGAATCGCCCTCTATATGTATGATTTTTTGCGTTTTTTGACATAAAACTACCTATATCTCAATGAAGATGCATTTTTTCGATACAAGTTTCAAATAAAAGTTGTTCAAAATTAAATTTCCTACAAAATTGCTCCTATGAAAAAATTAAGTTTTCCCAATAGTTTTCCCGTGTATTTCTTAAATGAAGTACAGATTATGTTGAAATTAATATTTTAGAGCCAAAATAATGGTCAATTCATTTTTAAATAACAGAAGTGAATTAGAGAAAAGAAAATTGCGGAAAATTCTTGGAAAATCTTATATTTACAGTTTTCCGAGGTTTGAATATTTATGGGCATCAAACGCATCATTTTATAGATTTTCGAGGGTATATATTACGAATTAATTATGCACATTTTAATATTTTTCAGAAAAATCTGTATTCTTTGAAATTTGTGATGAAATTGAAAATTTAAAGATGACAACAGGAGAGGAATTTTCTGGAGCAAAGATATAAAAAAAATATATCAATATATATTTATAAATAAAAAACAACCTTTTTTATAGTTTCTTATGTAAAACTGCTTCATCGCTGTCGCAAAAAAATTCCAAAGAAATGGACGTCCACAAAAATCTATAAAATATTCAGAAGATTTTCCAAGAATTTTCCGCAATTTTCTTTTCTCTAATTCACTTTTGTTATTTAACAAATAAATTGATCATTATTTGGCTGCAAAACATTAATTTTCACATAAACTAGACTTTATTTAAAAATTTTTCATAGGAACATCTTCATTGAGATTTTGGCAGTTTTTTGTCAAAAAACGTGAAAAATCAAATATACAGGGTGTGCCATTTAATACTCCTACTGCCGATATCTCCGAAATGGGGAAATTTATTTTAGTTCCGGAAACTGGGCTTGTTAGGTCCCTCGAATAGCTTCAAATTGCAGATTTGAACTAACAATTCTAACTTCAGTTTGAAGCGATTCGAAGAGACCTAACAACCCCAATTTCCGGAACTAAAATAAGTTTCGTATCAAATTTTTGTAATTACATGTTACACTGGGTGTGCCAAAAAGTCCCGATTTGCACTTATTAGATGATTAAAGTACATGAAAAAATAGAGTGTAGAAAGTCTAGACAAATTATAGTCATGAGAGAATATATTGAGAAATTTAGGTGCTTATTATTTAACATTAGTTGGAAAATTAAAAATAAATATATTTTTGGCAAGGTATTCTCTTTTACTTTACTGTTTATTTAATAAAAATTGTAGATCAAATCGTTTTTTTTTTCCTTTCAAAACATTTAAAGATTTAAGTACTTACAACGTCAGGCAGCTTAAACTCCCCTATTAAACAATTCTGTCGATCTTTCCTCTTGTACAGCCTATATTCCGGTTCCCTAGTCAAACTTTGAGAAGACGACAGCGTTTCAATCACCACCTTCTTCTGGCTTCCTTCATTATTACCTGTAATCTCATCCAAAACCGACTTTTCGCTAGATCTCCCCATTTTTTCATCAATTTCCCTTTGTTGAATCCTGTGCATCTGCAGAGTGCCGAAGGCTTTACGATTCTTCAGGATAATCTTTTCATCGTGACACATCAAGTCGTACTTATCTTCTAATCCATGAAAGACGATCGTTAGGAAAAAGTTCTTGAAAGCCTCGATTTCTTCCACCTTCCGGAAGAAGTCCGGATGGATAGCTATGTCGCAGACCTTCGCTTCTTCTCCCTTCTTGTCCTTCTCTACGCGAATTTCACCGATGCTCATGGGCACCCTAAAATCTCCGGGCGTGTCGGACGAGATGATGTCTAAAAGCTCGTTTTCGTTTACATCCTTAGGCGGCGGTATGGCGTCGGTTTTGCATATGTTCACGAACACCTTTGTTGCGTTGTGAAGTTCCTTAGTTTTGACGCAGAACCCTAAAAAAAATTGTACATTTATTTTGTGTTCATTTTATGTTCAAATAGGGTTTCTTTCAACCGCAAACAAATTGGTAGTTTATGTTCATTTCCGGAAAATATATATATGTAAGTACTTATTATTATTATTTATTATTTTCAGTAAAAGGATTAGTTAATTTTAGTCGGTAGGTACTCTTTTTCTTATACAGCTTAAAGCTGTTTTACACACAACAATTTCATTGTTCGTCAACTCAAACTCAAATCATCATAATTGTGTTGGCATTTAAAAAAAATACAAAATGTAACTATTATATAGATATCCTTAAAATTGGCCAATAAAATTAGTCAATAAATTGTACTCCAATTTTTGTTTTATACTTCATAAAATAAACTGAAGGTCAACTTGTTCAATTTATTGTTCAATAAATTATTGTATGTAAAACAGCTTTTAGCATGTGGCTTTTCAAATCTTTAAAAAATTCTCAAATTTGTCATAAGTTTAGAAAAATACCGTTTAATTGGTGGTTGTCTTTCGGGATTATTTCCAATATTGTTTATTAAAGCCACAGTTGCTTTTCTATATTTTTAATAAAGCATTCCAACATATCCCACTAAACATTTTTCAGTTTCTGACATGTTTCAGAAACGTTTCCATTTTTCTTTAAACGTTTCATAAAAAATCCATGCAACGTTCTGGTAACGTTCTAGAAGCCCAAGATGTCCTCCCCAAAATACGTTTCCAATGAAACGTTTCAAAAAATTGGTTTCAGTAACATTCTTTTTATGTTCCATTTATGCCCTCGATATTTTTGTTTTACGTTTCAGTATATTTTCAGAAATGTTTGAGTAACATAATAATTTTATTACCATATTGTTCTCATAATGCTCTCAACTTTAGATCATTTTCATTTCAAAAGCGTTTTTGAAATAGTATAAATAGTGTGAGTATTTTTTTAAATATCTCTAATACTCCTTTGTGATATTTTTATTTGTATTGTGAATGACTTAATTCGAACTAAAAAAAGTTACATTGTATATTAAAAAAAATAAATATGCTCTTCTAGTTTGGGGATGCGGCAACTTTTACTAAGAATTTCTTTCTTTTTGAGAAGCCACTGAAAAAAGTTTCTAATATGGATTACGAATTTTGCCATTCATCGTACAAATAAAAATATCACAAAACAATATCAGAAGCATTAAAAAAAAGCTACACATTTTATATAGTTCAAATACGCTTCTGAAATGGAAATTTTCTAATGTTGAGACCTTCATGAATATGGTAACAATGACGAACTGATAATTAGAAAAAGTTAGTTATGATTATGAATCTTAAAATGGTAGGTACATGAAAAACAAATAACATTACTGAAAAATAATATAAAGTTATAATTTCTTCTACGCATGGTCAATATTACATATATCCTTTTAATAATAATAAATTATACAGCAGAAATAAGGATACAAAATGATATCTTGACAAAGTAAATATCTGTAGGTATACCTAAACTCTTTTATTTAAGCATGCCTATACACATAAACAAATATAAACATTTGTACAAAATATAAAATAAATGACGTCTATTTCACTTGATTCATCCATATTTCAAATAGTTCTCACTGACTAAGTAGTTGCTCTTCAAATTATATCGAAACGTATAGTTGTTGTTCCATTTTCTTAGTTCTTGTCCCTTGTCCTCTTGTCTGTAATAGGTAGTGGGTATAACTATATTTAGGTAGATGTGACGCAAAATTGGAAATCTCTACACATATCGTTTTAAACATTTTGCATCAATATTCATTATTTTATATGCACCTTACAATAACCACAACTGCACACACTACAAATTATCACATAAAATAGCGTCAAAGTAAAGATGAATAACAACGAAACCAAGCAAACTGACAAACCGCAAACCTAACCTAACATAATACGAATTGAAACGACACACGGGAAACAAATAAACTCGGGCTGTTACGCGCAGTCTACGCAAGTCACGAACATACATTTTTTCTAGACTTGTGTTATAAATATGCTACCACATTTTTTTTTCTAATTATGTCTTTATATAACAAAGGCAAATGAACTAACGCTTGAGAAGGATTGGGGATTGAGAGCAAAATTTAACTAATGCCGAATGTTCCATAAGATAAGCAAAAATAGCAAAGGGTTGTTCGTCTGTTATGTTTCCGAGATCGAAAGGGAATGTTTCGAGTAATGTTTCAAACTGTCTTCAATTGTAATGTTTCGGCTATGTTTCACTAAATAAGTTTTCAAGTGCTCCATTTCTGTAATGAAACAGAAACGTTTCTAGTTAATGTTTCAAATGTTCAGTAAAACATCTCATTTGCAACGTTTCATTTACGTTTCGTGTTTAGTGGGATCACATTTTTCTTCATTGGAATAACGCTAAGCGTATTTTTTTCACTCAACGCCACGACATGAATGATAAGCTTTTATAAAAATAATTTTGAAAAATTATGCGGTGTTGCCAGACATTAAAAATATCAAAACGTTGATTTTTGAGGTTGTTTTTATTGGGATTATGGGTAGAACTAAAACACTAATAATTAAAAGATATTGTTTATTCACTTATTCAGATAGCACATCTATTCTGTATCAAATCAGATTAAAAACTAAAATTCTCTCTTAAGCTTAGTGCTACAATATACCTCCGTATGTTTATAAGCATTTTAATTTATGAACAAGGGCCGTTGGGCTTGAGAAATATAAACACATTAAAAGTAGGCATTAGTATCTAAGGATGGGAATGTTTTTGTTTACGTAACTTGAGTATCTTTCAACAGTTTTTAAAAATGTTTCTTACCAATATTATGTCATTAAAACGCCAAATAATTTATCTATTTGCCCAGCTTAAAATTCAATATGGCGTCCATAAGAAAAAAGACAGTTGAGGATGGTTTCTCGCAGCCGAAACGTCGCAATGAAAATCTAGCGATATATAGTGAAATCCCCTGAAACAACTTGCTGTGATTTTCACACTTTTCTGTTCTTAAATTTTAAAAATTCCTCTAAACGAAAAAGTTACAGACGATTTTTGAAAACGCCACATTTACTTTTTTTCGAAATAACTAAAAAACCTGAAGAGCTAGACCGGTCTGCAAGCGCCGTTAAGTTAGCAACAGAATTGTCTGAAATTTTCCCCATCTAACCATTTTTCTATCTCTTATATGTAGTTTTCAAGATAAGCACCAACATGCATCACCAAAATGGTCCACACTTTATAATAACAATTTCTGTGTTTTCATTTACATACGTAACTTGATTGTTGATCGTAAATTTTATAAGGTTATACGATACCAACTTACTTAATTATTCTTATTGTCTTTACAGAGCTGTGTATTTATTATTTACCAGCAGATACGATAACTTTGCAGTTTGTAGAAGGCAATATTAAAACAAAAATCTTTTAGAAATTACTTCCAAATTTATTGCCAAATCATCTTTCTATTTCAATTTTTATCTCTGATATTTAACTCAGTTAATCCCCACGATCTTGATTTTCTTGGAACAAAAAATTACAATTTATAAACACCCATGAATGCAGAATTAAAATGAAATGAAATTTAATTGAACGATTGTGTGCACTCGATTCAATTGGTTTAAATTACGCAATATCAGAACTATTTAGCAAACACTGCTAACACTAATCGAGAGAATATGGTAAATAAATTGATGATCCCAAATGTCACAAGAGTATTAAAGTTGCAGGACAGTATATCTTCCTTTAGATTGCATAAAATTTTGTTAACGAAAAAAACTATTTTTGGTCAGGGTATGTAATTCAGTAGCCGTTTCATATATTTTGAAGGCATATAAATAGACGTTTTATATAAAAAAATATATCTTAACCTGTGGTTAAGTGAATTATATCAAGTTTCAATATATTTTAAGTTTTTATTATATGAAAATACTTAAAATGCATTTGTCATAGTTAATTGCGCATCACAAAAACTCATGTTATGCATGAACTTTTATATAATTTGTTTGTTTTGGAATTACTTTTCTATTATACATAATCACTTTTTCACTGTTCTAAAGCTTGGAAAACATTTTGTGGATATGCTGATGTCAAATTAATTCCAAGGTCGCAATTTTATCTATTGACAGAGTGATTCTAATATTTTAACATTGTTATATTGACTTAAATTTATACGACTTTTCTCCTTAAAGAACAAACAAAAATGATTCAAAATCATTATGTACCTTCAATCTATATATATTCTTTCAATTTCAATAGATCAGTAAAATGTTTAAGCATTATTTACCTTTATTCATTAATTTCTTAAAATATTGAATAAAAGTGGGCGATTACAATTCAAAATACACGCGAAAAAAATCGTAAATTACTACAAAGTACTTGATCCCCTAGATTTGCGCATTCGTACATTTTTTATGTAAATATATGCACGAGACTTGACGTTGTATTTACTTTTGCTCAGATCCCTCTAAAAACTGCAAACACTGAGAACAATAACTGTAAGGAAAACAGACTTAAAATAGCTATTTATCATACTGAAGGGAAAATGCGTGTTTAAGATATGAATGAAAGTTTACAATTTGTACACAATGACTGTAAAACAAATATTTCGTGAACGTTTTGATATATTTTGCAAAGCTATATTTATATGATATACCTATAACTATTTAGATACAATTCGATGCATTCCTCTCATTTAAGTATTAAAAATGCAATAACTGGATTAAGTTTAAAAAACTGAAAGAGGATGAGTTCATCAATTTTTATACTAGTACATATCATTAGTTTTATAACTAACGCTACCCTATCTACGAATAGTTAATAATAATATGTTTATTGTCCAACAGATTATAAATCAAGTCACAGGAGAAATATACCTAAAGGTAATAAACAAAATCCAAAATCCCCCAAAATATTAAAGGAATAAAAAACAATATAAAAAATGTTTTATTTCAAATTCGCAAAATCTTCATGTCACTGGAAATATGACTAGTCTAAACTACTATTATGAAAAGATGA